AATCGAATTAATTTTTTTCATAATAGTTTTGCTCATTAAAAGCTATAAAGAATTTAAAATGAAAAACATTTAAAACTTAAGCACGAATTCTTGAGGAATAGTTTAGTAGCTACAAAGTGCATATATTTTATAACGAAAAAATATTATTTTGAAAAGAATTAATATTATATATTACTTTATGGTAAAAAGGTTTTACTTCATTCAAAACCAAATACTTTGCAAATAAACATATTTGGTATATAATTTTGAAGTTCAATAATATAAAATTTCATTATGAAAACTAGAATATATCTCACATAAGTTCAAATTTGGATTACCATTTTTTGCATAACACTTCTGATATAAATATTAATAATAATCATAGTAGTAAAATTTTAGTTTAATCTGTGAAATGGGAAAATGATTTATTTTGTAATATGTATTTCTATAATAGTATTTTCGGTGTTAAGTATAAGTAATTTAATTACCTGATATACTATTCATTTGTTTTCGCAAAGAAGACAGCATTCTTTTCAATAAGCTAATATAGGAAAGTACTTACAGCTAATTTGTGACAAGTCTTTATGACGAAAATAAACTATTTAAATAATAAATTAAATACAATTTTTGTCCTTGTCTTTTCTTTGCTTTTCGAATCCGTCTAAAAAACTACAAGCTTCTTAATGAAGATCTTAGAACTGAAAAATATGTAGTTTTATATTTCTGAAATTTTCACTAAACAAATTATATAAAATGTATACATGTGCACTAAAACTTATAAAATTCTTTTTTATCAAATTTTACTACTCAGCTGTTATCACCATAGTTGATGCTTTACAATTTTAGATGTATTTTAAAATTTTTTCTATAAAGTTAGAAAACCTGTCTGCCTCACAATTTTTGCTCTTATTAATTAAAAAAAGCTTAAAATAAATAAAATAAAAATATTTTAAAACCATTACAAAAACATATTTTTATGTTTTAAAAATAGATTTTGTAATTTAAAACTAAAATTTTTGCAATTGCAATTTTAATTTCTTTAGTTTCATTTTTCATATCAATATCAGATGTAACAACATATTTAGTTGAAATAGTCCGAACGCGATGAATTGTTAAGGTTATTAAGAAAAATTCAGTGAAGTGCAAATATAACCGATTTTTCCCAAATGAATGATGAAAAAGGCAATTATTTTGAGTTTTTGTTTGACAACACAAGGATTCAGTATGAAATGAATATTCACATATAAATATTTTTGCTGTGACTTAAAGTAGCAATGCAAATAAAACGAAATGAATAAATAATATTTAAAAAGAATTCAAATATAACGTTTCCTGATAAATAAGTAACCCGGATATAATATACAATACAGAAATAAAATTATACCCAAGTACTCCAACTGAAACAATTTATCCTCTATAAACATAACATCAATAATTTAAAGGTTAAATATAAGTTAAATATTTACTCTGTTGTCAACAGATGGTACAAAATTTCTTCAAGGATTTAAATGGGAAAGTAAATATTATTTTAATGTTATAATTATCAGAGAACTTATATTTTAATTGAAAATTAATTAAACTAAAAAGTTAAGAGTAAAACACTAAGAACCAACATTTTCCACAAAAAAAATTTAGTGGGAAACATGTTGCGAGGGCACACAAAAGCTGCATGTAACAAGAAACAATAAACAGCCAACAATTTAAGCAACAAACAATTTTAAAGATACAAAAATGCCAACGATTCTACCTTGAACTCGTTAGGACAAAACATGCTGAGCTGCTAAAATTAAAACGATTTGCCGGAGTATAAATGCAACGGCAACAGCAACAGCTGTACTGCATGATGCTGTACCAAAAATAGGTACAAACTAAAGCAACAAATGCAACTGAAGAGATAGTTGGATTACATTGTGCAGATACATTTTTTGTATGGCACACGTGCCCCCAATAGCTATGGAACAGATGTTGCCCTTAAGGTAATTGCAGTTCTTAGTCGTTGCTTATGGTTATCGAAATTAAAACAAATCCAGCAATTATTACGTGAGTGGTTTTTTCTCTTAGGCTGTAGAGGTGAGGTTGCCCAAACCAGAATTTTTAGTCCTTCTAGTTGGATACTCATATTTTTTTTTGCTTAACATTTAAACATTTTAAATAAAACCAAGTAGTAAAATTTATAAGTTGCTGAAAGAGTTTTCGATTTTTAGGTTGAGAGAGATTTTTAAAAAATATTTTTACGATCAAAAACATAATTTGGATTTAACAAATACCAAAAATATCTAAAATAAATAAATGCAGTGCTTATTCTCTCTATTAATCAGAGAGAAAATGTTGAAAATAGTCTAAGTATTCATATATAAAATTAAAAATTACTGACTTTACTAATTTAAAAGACTTTACTATGTAATTTTAAACCAAAATTTTTAGAGCTCTTCCTTAAAAATGCAGATTTAATTACTTTTAGACCCCACGTAAACAAATGCGCTCAAGTATATCGAAATGCAATTAAGGTGTCTATTGTGTTTGTGTTACTGACATTGGCAACAGCATTAAAAATGCATTATTTCCATCATTTTCTTGATGTATTTTGTACATAAAGGAAAACATGAAACTTCACCATTTTTTTAAACCCAAAACTATCTGAGCAACATTTGCTTCTCTCTGTTATTCGCATGAATAAATTTATATTAAAATAATTTACTATTTAATATATTTTTACTTCTTCTTAATGCACTAACTGAAATATCCAATAAAAACTCTAAGTCATAGAACTTAGTTTTAGTCAACATCAAATGTGATATTTTTAGAAAGTCAATATAATAATAATATTCATTAATTTTTGAGTTAAAAAAATAAGTTCACATCTTGTCTTCCTCCATTTAAAAATCGAAGCATTTCACAAAATAAATAAATATTAAAGTAAATTGTTATTGTACTCAATAAAAAAAGGGAGAATATGCGATATGTAATTGTTTTTGGAAACAAATAAATAAAATTTAATAGTTTTAAAATAAAATTCTTACAAGAGATATGTAAAAATAAGTATTTCGACAAGAAATACTGCTAAACATAACAGCATCCTTTTAATATCCTGTTACTACAAAACTACATTTGCGTTCCTTTAAGCAACAATCAAATAAACAAAAAAAAAAACAAAATAAAATGAAAACAAGCAAAAATGTTCCAAGAGAATACAAAAGAAATTTATACATACCCGTCTTTTATGTACTAGCGTTCAGCACATATTCAGATGCGTTTAGGTAGGGCAGACATGATATTATAAAAAAAATTGCTAACCGACCGTATGCCTGCAATACGAAATTCCCTTCTCTTAGCTGTCTACCAAATGCTTTTTAAATTGTGCTGCGCATGCGCACCAGGCAAAACAAGCCGTAATAATAACGCACTGAAGCACAACACAACTAAATCAGCTCTATACGATATGACATGGACTGAATTTTAAAAAAGATATAAATAAGCAACGAACTCGTTACCTGAAATGTTAAAAAAGGGTTCCCACTATCTCTCATATTTTGCAGCTGTAGTGTGAAAAGACTTTAACAAATTCCTCTATTTTTTGAAGAGCACGAATTATGTTAAATGATGGTAGATCATGATTTAAATAGATGAATTAAAATTCTCTTTAACACTTTACACAACATATTTGAATTGCCAGAGATTTTTTTTTCATTTTTTAACATATTTTTCCGTATTCCCAAAAATTCTCATAGTTTTGAGAATACATTTCAAATTAATTAGAATTCTGCGTCTGGAATAGCGTACGTCAGCGCCCCCTTTATTAGTCCTCTATAGAGCTCTACTACAAACCAATATAACATAAACAGATTCATCATCGATTTGGTATATTTTCTTAGAGTTGGATATATGTAACCTATCTACACTACAGTTGGTATTTTATAATCATTTATTTGACTATATTTATTATTATTCCACGATCTTATATTGATGATGTTAGACTTATGGAGAACTGAAATCTATAGGAACTGTTTGCGTACGACTTCTATTATAAGAAATAATTTTATTTATTGAATTGATGTATATTTATTGAATGTATATTGTTGTTGTGAAGTTTAAAATAAGTACAACTCTTATATTACTACATTACATTATACACTTACAATATTATATTATGTACTCTTATAACTCTGATATATACTCTGTACATTCTAGATTATTATGTTATTAAAATAAAGTCGGTAAAAATATTTATATTGCCTAAAATATATATTGTATAAAATATTTAATTTATGTTAGTAATTATAAGATATTTTAGTATTGAGATCATATATAATACAAATTATTAGTTTAAAAATAACAAAGCTTAACAGTGACAAAATAGTGGATATTGATAATTTAACCTAGAAATGCTTTCAAACAGAGAGTATGGAGAATAAAATTTAGAAGCATCTGATGAATCTGAATATGCATTTCCAAATTGTTTTTAACAAAAAATAAACACATATTAATTTTTCCACTAAATAGTCTTCACAAACAAGTTTTAATTAAAACAGAATATGCAAGTGTTCCATAAATAACAAAAATATTATGGTTTTTACAAACTACGACCCATTAAGATTGTGTGTTGCCTCGATTGTTCAATGGTTTAAATACGATGGTTCTGAAACCCTAAAAAGAAAATGGCTTGCATATGCTCTTATGTACGCTGTTATGTATATATAGCATTTTAGTCACACAATACACATACACAAATTTGCTTCTGGCTGGAGTGTAGGGAATTTTTCAGGTCGAACGAGTTCTTGCAACACAAACTAGGCGCATTCGCAAAGGGATGAGTGAGCGGTATGGACTGATCGGAGTTTTCGGTTCATGTGAATTTCGGGAGTGAA